GATTCAGGAGAGAAACAAGGAAATGCTTTTTCACACAGGGTTTAGTAACCTATAGTGTCACAAGACATTGTGATGTCCACCACCTTCGATGGCTTGCAAAGGGTATTGGGCCAAGTCATGGAGGGCTGGGCTATCCATGACTACTCTTCATGTATATGCTGTGGTGAGGTTCAGAAGCAGCACCCATCCAAATACCTGTTGCTGGGAATCAGGAGTGGGAGAGCACTAATGCATTCATGGCCTCCTTGTGGGATTCCCATGGGCATTTGGTTAACAACAGTTGAGAAATAGGATGCTGGACTACGTAGGCCTTTGGACTGTTTCAGCAGAGCTCTTCTTATGTTCCAACAACCAGTATAGGCATCGGCATACATAAATATTTGTAAAACACTTTTCGAGTTGCATCATGACAGGAGGTCTGTTTCTTGATGTTTACTTGCCTTCATATAGCTTTCAAACATTACATGTCTTGCTTAGATTTAAAAGAGCATTGGTCCAACTGTTTCAACCTCTTTGCGTATTATTTCTTCTTGCAGATTTGGGGTTTGGCGTGAGCACTTAGCTCTGCTCAGGGTCAGCCCTGCTATTAGACAGTGAGGTAACTCTCTCAAGGCAGCTGATTTGGGGTGTTTGTTTGTTTAATATAATGAAAGGGCATAAAATTATTAGTTATACAATATTTTTATTATATTTTCACTTCCAGGGATGGGGAGTTTCCTGCCTCAGGTGCAAAAAACAAATAGGTTTGCCTTGTCTCCTATTACCATGATTTAAGGGTAGAGGTGTGGTGGCAGCAGAGATATCAAATACTGCTTCAGCCCTGGCTCCACTGATCTTTTGTTAATCAGTCTATCCATGGCAGTAAGATATATAGAGACATAAAATAAATGATGAGATATGATTATGATATAGTACCAGTGTATATTAATATTTTTCTGCTGTTGATATGACCATGATGGTCAAAATAACAACAAACAAACAAACAATAAAGATTACAGTATAGAGCTGTGCAAGTTTTTAGTCACCAGTAGTGAAAGTGAAGATTGTATCTCCAGAATCCTGAGGGCATCTGGGCAGATTTCGTATTGGCTAGTGCACTGAGCTTCCTGTTTGAAGATTTCTCTGGCCAGAGAGTCTAGTTCCTCTCCTTATATTCTGTAAGTTCTACTCCTTCCTCTCTACTTCTCTAGTGATGTGGTGTTCATCTTCCATGTGCAGCAGAAACTGTGTTACTAGAATGAGTTTTACCCATTACGTGATTCATATTGCATAAAGTATTGTTTCTTAAACTGCATACTGCAAAGGACATTTTGTGTGACAAAAGAGGTACTGCTGCCTATTCTTCTCTGACAGGAGGGCTCCTGTGTTTTTAATGGCAGCCTGACATTGCTTCACCTGACATTGCTTAGCAGACAAAGCATTTTTCATAATTTTATTGCCATGCCAGGGAAAAGTTCCCTTGTTAAATAAATGCTCACCTGTTGGCCAACTGTCAAAAACACAGGAGTCCTGTAGGAGGAGAAAATTGACGGAGAAGCAGTTACACAGTCAACTGGTAGTAATAAGTAGAGGTCCATTTTTCTACCCTATCAAAGCTGGCTGTTGGATGCCAACCACTCGTTTTCTTGTTAGAAATGCTTACTGCAAGATTTTCTTTCTTTTCTTCTTTTCTTCTTTTAAAATACATTTCCTAAACAGTTATTACTGTTAAGGGACTGGTGTTTGGCAAAGCTCTACTCTTAAATTTGGCCTTACTACCTCTCTTGCTGCTGGAAATTTCTGTGATCCAATAAAGCAGAAGAGCAGCCTTCTGTACAGTTGTCTGGATGCCCTTCAAACTGTCAGAGCTAATAATGGCAGAAATGAACATAAAAATGGAGAAAAGCTCATTCCACAGAATTGCCAACTTTTCTCTGGCAAGGCTCCTATGCCTTTTAAGAGAACCAGAACTGCCTAAGTAGATGCTGCAAGCCTCTGTGTCCATAACTAGAAATTCAAGAATGAGAAGCTCTTGGAAGCTTCCGGAGAGTATGTGGAGCTTCTGAAGACTTGCCAGAAGGTCTTTAAGGATTTTTATGAGCCCTTAAGAATTGAAAAATGTCCCTGCTATGTTATCTACATCATTTTAAGTAACAGCTGCCGAAATACAAGCTTGTAAATAAAAATGATGGATTCTTTTTGCTGAAATCATCTCAAACATTAACTGAGCTTTAACTGCTAGCTTCTTTTGTGGTCATGGGCCAATACAAGAAAGTGTCACATTTATACTCATCATGTAATATATTAATGCATCTATTTCTTGAATTTAGATTCATATGAATGTTGTCAGTGGTTTTTTTTTGAAGCAAAGCTAATTCATTCTACAGATGTCAAACATCTTGTGTAGGGCAACAAGCAGCAGCAGCAGTTCACACGCTTAGATGTTCTGTAGGAACAATTTACTGTTCAGAGCCAGCTTTTAATTGTGCTGAAAACATCAGTGGACAGTCCAAAAATACTTGACACTCTCCCATTTTCTGCTATGTTTTAAGAGGGTGTGTAGATGACATAAGAGAGTACGTCAATGGGATCAAGATGTTGATTCTTTGCATCCAATCTTTTGCTGGACATTCTGAAAGGAGCCACACTTGGCTCTTCAGATTGAGCCTGTCTTAGATAGAACAAATACCTAGGCTAGGTTTCTGTTTTTTACTTCAGTGCCCACTGGGAAAGAATAAAACCTCACACAAACTACATAATGAGAATTGCTCTCATTAATTATATCTACATACTTTTTTTCAGACTTTCTGTCCCGGTCCTCACTGGTGGATGCAATACTTGTACTCCCAATGCAGTTTTTGAAAAAGGCTTTAATGCGTAGGTACAGAATTCGGCAGCCAGGTTGCTCACCGGAGCAAGACAATTTCAGCATTTTACACCAATCCTGGCCCGACTGCACTGGTTGCCAATTAGCTTCTGGGCCCAATTCAGAGTGTTGGTTTTGACCTATAAAGCCTTAAACAGCTTAGGACCACAATACCTCAAGAACGGCCTCTCTGCATATGAACCTCCTCAGACCCTCCCTGAGATCATCTTCTGAGGCCCTCCTTTGTGTGCCTCCTCCAAGAGAGGTCTGGAGGGTCTTTCTGCTGTGGCTCCCCCTTCATGGAATGCTCTCCCCAGGGAGGTTTGTCTGGCACATTCATTATATATCTTTGTATATATATATCCCGGTCTTTGGATGATTAATGTTCTAAGGCCTTTTGAATGTGCTTGTGGGAGGGGGACCTTATTGTTTTGCTGTTTTTGTTTTGACTATTTATTCGGGTTTTCGTCTTGTGTTTCTGTCTTGTGAACTGCCCTGAGATCTTTGGATGAAGGCGGGGGGCGGAGGTATATAAACCTAATAAATAAATGATAATAAATAAATCTTGTTGCAAAGCATTCAGGTTAACAACAACAACAACAACAATTTATTATTTATACCCTGCCCATCTGGCTGAGTTTCCCCAGCAAGTGTTACCATGGTTGAAGCTCATGGTTTGGTGTAAGCTGGCATTGTCCCAACACTTGACATCTGTCCCCCCCTCTCGTTTCAAAGATCAGGGAAGGAGCAGTCATTCGGATGGCTGATTGCCATGGGACTGGGCAAGCCAGTGGGCACACTTCTGAGCAGACTAAGTTTGCCAAGTCTGTTTCAGCCAGTGCAGTTATCTTTGTCCTTGGCGATAGAGACTGAGTCGCTGACTGATCTATCTCAAGGCACCTCCCTTTCTTGTAATTACATGTTCACACTTTTCATCTTCAGATCTGCTCCGTGTTTACCCATATTTCTGCTTTCAGGCAATGCCTCTCCTATTCTTCCACTAGAACTTTTACTTGTCCCCTTATAGACCTTTTTTTTTATTAGCCTTCATTCTTCCTGTTAATTCTTTTATCTTTCCTGTGCATTGCACAGTCCATTGTTCCATATTATATTCCATGCTTCCTCGTTCCTTCTTTCATATTCCTTTGCCCTTATTACCAGATTTGTTCAAAAAAAATGATCCCCTGGTGGTATTTGATCACCACTGGCAGCTATCTCTGCTGTGTCACTGCCGCCTCTGTGCTGATGCTTATCCCACAGATAGTCATACAATTATACAGAGATTATTAATGTAATCACCATGGCAACTGGCAAACTTATGAGAAGAGCCATTCAAAAGGATTCCAATTCTCCCCAATTCTTTATTTGAATTAAATGCTGAATTATGCCAGTTAAAAGATTGACAGCAACTTACAAACTTAATAAGTTGAAACAAAAGGAAAATCTAAATTAAAAAACCTCTTTATACTGATTGATATCTGTTCTGTATTGAAGCCTCCAAAAATAAAAAAAATAGTGCCAAATTTAACAGCATCATAAGTTTTGCCTTTCTGTGCATATGTTAGGGGTTTTTTGGTGTGTGTTTTTAAAAAAGACTTCATAGAAATGTAGCTGTTTAGCTAGAAAATGACTTCCTGGTTGTAAAATGCAATAATATGACATGGTGTTGAACATCAATATAAAACAAGCAGCTGCTCCATTTTAGGCTAGCAGATAATTTGGATTTAGTTTATTGGTTAGTGTGTGCTGCAAAAAATAAAGAAAGCAAGAAAAAACCCCTGACCAAACCACGTAAATGGATTTCCTAAAATATACAGGGGGGGGGTACTTTAAGTCCCATTAAAATAGCTGGGAGTTTTGCTATTGACTTCAGCGGGTTATGGATGGCACCCTATATCAGAACCTGTCAGTCTCAGCTGGACCTCTCTGACCTTTTCTGCAGCGTGCGAGTAATGAGATTGCCCTTTCCCTTCCTGACACAGTTGCATCGCTTGACTCGAGGAGCTAAGCATTTTCAACATGTCCGTATTCTCCAGAGGTGTCATTTTCTGATTAAAACAAATCAAAAAGCTTCAGACTTGGCATGGCAGTAGTAAAAATCCTTTCCAGATGTTTCATTTTAATTTTTTTAAAAAAAATAATGGCAATGTATATTTTCCCTCAGTCACAATAATTTTCTTTTTCTTTTCATCATCTGTTTCCTACACATGAAGAAGACTGAAAGCAAAGTGGCTCTGCAGTCAAGCCAAACGATCATTATTCACAGAAGGTATGTATTCCCCCCCATGTCTCTTGTCTCTCTTGATCCTTTGCTACTCTACTTCTGTTTCGTATCATTATTTATAACCTTCTAGCTAAAGTTCAAGGATGCAATCCAACCCCCTGTGCTTGCAAGCAGTAGGATACAGAATGGCTTCCACAAGGTCCTGTGAAAACCCCTCATCAGCTTCCTCCATACATGATGCAACTTGGCTGGGCTATCTGGTTGTGGACAACCAAAGTCCCTCCTCTACCTTTCCATTTAACACACCTTACCGCCCCCCCCCCCCGCAAGGCCTCTGGGTGTCGCTCTACTCTTGACTTTGCTAGAAGTAGCCTGGGTGGGGTCCTGAGGAAAGGCGAGCTACTTAAAGCTGATGATAAGACATGGGAGGTCCTCTGATGGAACAGGCCATGATGAGTAAAGTGCTTGGAAGAGCAGCAGCATGTTCAAGGCAGCTGATGAGAGATGGACACATTATTGTTGGGTCCTTAGGAGCCCCTCTGTTCCTGGCAAGAGTGGGGTGTACCCAAAAGAAACAGCCAGCAAATAAGCACACATTATGAACTTGTCCTGTTGATTTCAGTGGGTCCCCTATGAGTATGACTAAGGCTGCCATCCTAAACCCTCTTACCTAGTAGGAAGGCCTAAAAAGTCAATGGAATATGGTTAGGATGCTCTGTAAGTCTGGATGGAATCCATATTTTTAACTCACATAAAGGCACAAATTCTCGCTTCCACCTTACCTTTAACATTGGTCAAGGTATCTCAGTCTAGGAAAATTGCCTTTTTATCTTGGAATGATCTCTTTGTATTGTCCGATAAAAGTGCTCCACATTCCTAGGAACCCATTCCATCTTTTCTATCCTGGGCATTGACCCACCTCACAGGTAATGCTGAGTTTAACCAGGGATTAGTGCACATAATCAAATATGTGGGTTCCTGCCGTGATAATTGCATGTGCCACACTGTTCAGGGCTAAGCCATTATTTGACTTAGCACTACATCCAAACCCAGGCTGGTGGCTTATCTTGCTCAGGATTAGGGATAGACTAGTTTGTACAGTATGGTTTCTCTCCATTCCTCATTGTTTCACTCTTAAATTCAGTTTTCCACATTTCCGTAGCAGTTTGCAATTTTATTTTAATTTTTTTAAAAACTCATCAGAATTTGCTAGCATTTTAATGAGAATTTCTCCTAGCATATACATTGTTGATAAATATACACATTTCTGCCAACATTTTCCTATTATATAATGCATTTTTGTACACTTTGTTCACTTACATGTGTACTTTTAGGTTCACTTTATATGCTTTTGTATTACTATTTTATTGTTTAATGTTGCCTTTGGTTTAATTGTATTGTACACTACTTAGATATTTAAAAAAATATTAAGGAGTTTATAAATGCTTCAAATTTAATAGAAAAAAATCTTCTGTCCAGGAACTTGTGTGTTTGCTAGTTCATGCTAAGCCACTATTTGGCTTAGTACTATGTGTGGTCATTCAATCAGTTAACCTTTTCCTTATGATTTCCCAGATGTTTAATGCATTGCTGTGTGACAGCCAACATTGTTGTTATCTTTATTTTTCATTTAAATCTTAAGTTTCAGTTATACAACCTAATTTAGGGGAAGTTTTAAACGTCTTAGTTGATTAGAGAATATACTCCTGCCAAGTATAAAATGATTCCTAAAATTTCAGATTTTCATGGAACCAACAAAGACATTTCACAGAAGAGAAGAGCCTGTTAATTTATTTGTTGTCAATTTTGAGAGCAACAGAATATTGCAAAACACATTGCACAATGGAATTGTCCAAGGCAATGAACATTTGATCTGTAGCCAGTCTTGACGCAGCCAGTGTGACAGCATATATGCGTCAGAGTGACCTTACTTGCACATTCCAGTTCAGAAAAATAGCAAGAAACACAAAGACACTTTGATGCATTTTAGATAAACAAATGCCATCACATTTTCAGCAAAAAATGTATATAATACAGTTGACCCTGACCATTTCTGAAGTTCAAGGATACCAGGTTTTAATGGTTCCAGGCACAATGCCATCAACCATAAACTTCAAAAATGCCCTCTTTTGTAATACTGAATTCAATTTCTTTTGTACAGTTTCTTTTACCATATTTTTTAACCGAAACCATGTGCTCAACTAGTGAATACAATGCATTTTGTTCTCAAACTTGTATCAGCATCAATAGTTCTTCCTCTCTCTCTCTCTCTCTCTCCCCCGCAAAAGTCTGCACTCATAGGCAGTTGGCAATTTTCAAGGCAGTTCTAAATTGTGCTTTTAACTTTAAATAACAAATATTGAGGTAATTTGGCAGTTAAAATATTTACCCTGGATTTGACTGATTCTGCGTTGCGTTGCATACTTGCATATTGTTTAAGTTGTAAATTTTCCACATATGCTGAGTTGAACCACCTGAGCCAGAGTTTCTATGTCATCCTCTCCACTGTTCACCCCCAACGTAACATATTTGTGCAGACTCCATGGGCCACCACAACCCCAATCCAGCTCATTCTAAAAAGGTAAAGGTACCCCTGCCCGTATGGGCCAGTCTTGACAGACTCTAGGGTTGTGCGCCCATCTCACTCAAGAGGCCGGGGGCCAGCGCTGTCCGGAGACACTTCCGGGTCACGTGGCCAGCATGACGAAGCTGCATCTGGCGAGCCAGCGCAGCATACGGAAACGCCGTTTACCTTCCCACCAGTAAGCAGTCCCTACTTGCACCTGGGGGTGCTTTCGAACTGCTAGGTTGGCAGGCGCTGGGACCGAGCAACGGGAGCGCACCCCGCCGCGGGGATTCGAACCGCTGACCTTTCGATCAGCAAGCCCTGGGCACTGAGGCTTTTACCCACAGCGCCACCCGCGTCTAGCTCATTCTACTCCTGTATAAAACTGGCATGAGATCGGAGATGAGCATGCTAAGCTGTGTGTCCTTGTCACTGTCTCCATCACCCTCCATGAGTTGGAGAGTGAACTTTTGAAGTGGGGGCACCTCCACAAGAACAGGAGATTCCCTGCTTCAGAGAGGGTTGGTAACCAGTTTGTGGAGGACTATGGGAGTCATGTGCTCATTCTTGCTCTCTCCACTGATGTGTTGGTTTTGCATGCAAGTAGGATACAGTGACTTTAGTATGAGGTATGTGTTTTGGCATGGATGTAGCATTGCTCCTCATTTATTAAAGAGTATTTGAAGTAGTTCATAGCATCTCTAGTGAGCTAGAGACCACAATATAGAAAACAGAATGGATATCATTAGAATTGTGGCAAAACTCTGGTTTCTTCTCCTGTCAGAAATGTCAACCGTGAAACTGTTTAAAAAAGAGAATAATCCTGCTGATGAGGCGCTCAACACCAAAGCTCTATTTGTTTGCAGAATAAAGGGCATCTTTGAATTGTTTCTTCACATGCATTTCTAACTTTCCATCCATTCTTAGAATAACACCAGATCAATATGCATCCAGTGCCCTTGATTGTGCCTCAAAAGGCACAAGCTAATGATGCCGACAGCTATTGAAAAGCTTTCCATCTGGCCCACTGTTGGATAAATTATCCTGAAGAAAATTGTAGAACCTTTTCCAGTAATGCTATTAATGCAAGGCATGCCATCAGCAATATATCTCAGTACTTAATAATACATTATAGGATTTGTTTAAAAAGGGGGGATAATGGAGGAGCAATCTTTTTAACTATTGAAAAAAGTATTCCTGATATTTGTTTTGTACTTTCTTCCATTTTTCCTCTCAAAGAAAAGTTAAATTGGTTTTTTTTTGGGGGGGGAGAGAAAGAGTGTCTTTTCTGTGTAGCATTTTAAGAAAAGAGATAGATGCAGAATATCATTTTACTCTTTTTGGAATGTTAAATAACAACTGATCCTTCTGAAATAGTTATGCTAAAATAGCCTAAGAAACAGTGCTTTGGATGAGATGGGATGGGAGACACGAAGTATAATAGAAATAATACATTCCAGCTGCAGTCCTATACAGCAACTGTACCTGGTAGTAATTCTATTGAACTCAGTGGGGCTTGTCATTAACTTAAACAAAAAAAGGCAGATTTCCAATTATATGTAGGCATCTCATCAGCCTTTCCTTGTGGCTTGTTTGACCATTGTCAATAAACCATGAATAAGATACAGTGGTCTGGTCTACCAGAAATTTTAGGTTCTCTGAAGCAAGTGACTTCTGTTATGCTGATAACTTTTGTTGACAATCTACACTTTTTCTTAGGTTGCTGTATAATTTCTCTCATTAACATTACTAAAAGCTAACCATCAGACTTTATAGGATAATTATTAGTTGGCAGGTTGCTAAAGTACATATGAGATGCTAGCACACTGACTCCAGCAACAAATAATAAAACTAATGTTATTTTAATGACGGCAGTAAGTGCAGCGCTATGCCGTTTTGACACCATATCCTCAGGGCATCAGCTTATCTAGCAAAACCATCAGATAACACTTTGTTTTATCAAGGAAGGTGCAGGCTTAAAGCGAGGTGTAGGCAAATGAATGGTCCGTCTCTTACAACAACATTTAGAGGAAAGCAGTCATTTTTTTAATCAACCAGTTTGAATTAATATATTAAACTACTTTTCTTCTTGGTCTTGAGGTGGTGAAAACACTGTTTAGAAAGTATACCATTTCAACCATTTGTATGAGTCATTCACTTCAGGGCTTATTCACACAAAAGGCGAACCCGAGAGCTGGTAAACACAAGAAACTCAATGTGGAAATGCCCCTATGAAATAACTTCCTGGGGGTGGGTGAGCTCATTGGGCCATCTTTTCAAAAATATATATCACACTTACTAAGTAGTTGCTATAATCAACAGCAACAGCCAGTACTGATCATACTCACTAGAGTGATTTCAATTCCAAATATGGGATAAATAAGTGAATGTAATGAACGTCTGTTTTCATCTTTGGTGTTTTTCTCCAATATCTCTAGTGGGAAAGGGCAGGTTATCCAGGACCAAGGGCAACAACTCC